TCCATAGATTTCCTGTCATCTGATTGGTTCTTCTTCAGTTTGCATATTTTTTCTTACGATGTTGTTTTGCTACAGATTATTCTGCTGCTGCTGCAGCTCTTTAGAGCCTGTTCGTCCCTGCTGCACTTGCTGTACTGCATATATGGTGTTGTGCTATGCGAGCTGTGCTGTTATGTGAGATTTAAATATATCAAACTATTTGGAACAAACTATTATGCGGTGTCGTATTGTGCAGCGAGATTAAACATTTCAAATTATTTAGAATAAAGTACTATTTTGTGATATTAGTAAAATCACTTAATTAAAATTATCATTAATGACATAACTTAAATTAAATAATTTTCTTATTATTTTTTTTAAAACAAACAAATCCCTTAATAAATGAATTATTTATACGGAAAGCACATGCATAAAAGAAGCAATAATAACAACATTCCATGGTTGTTTTAGCAAACTGACCAACTTAATAATTTATTTAATATCAATAGTAGTTAAGATTTAATATATTAAAATGAAATAATTGATTTTAATTAATTTTGAAATATTTTTTGTAATAAAAGAAGCATCATTTGTATATCTACTCTATGATTTACTTTAAGGAGAGATAAAAAAATGAAAAGAAAAATCATATCTGTACCCATTAAAAATTATAAAAATATTTTCATGGAAACTCGAAAAAAAATATTTTAAATTTTTTCTTTCTTATTTCTTCATGTATCTCTTTTATAGAGTAAGCATTTATAATTTCTACTAATTTTGCATAAAACAAATTGCATCGCATGTCATATTTTAAAATACTACTAATTTTGTCATAATATGGACTATTCATTGGGCCAATCTTGAAAATGGGGCTTAAATCTTTCAGAGAAAAAGTGGTCTCCTAGAGTATATGACATTATCCTCACTGCCCACCAAGCAAAAAGACGAGACCAAAAGAAGAATGTCTTGCTCCACCCTTCTGAACCAAGTAAGTTGCAACTCCCTCGTTATCTGTCTGTACCATGTTTACTTCTTCATAACTAAATGTGGGCGGTTTAGTTTGTTACTGTTTGTTTTGTTTCTCTGACGTTACAGAGTCTTCAGTTGGGTTTTGCCAAGAAATGGACTTCTGTATCTTGGAGACCAAGAACAAGCACTTGTTGCACTTGTCAGGTGATTATCTCATCTGTAAACACTTAACTCTGCACATTTTGGTCTATACTTCATTGTCTTGTTTTGCTTCGATAATTTTAGCGGGACTTGATTCTGGGTTATTATTGTTATTGTCAAAGGTTTAAGGTTAGGTTTCAGGGAGGGAGGATTATAATTTGTGGGAGTTTTTTCTACTACTTTTCTATGTTGGTATGGATTTTTAAGTGTTACAGGCTTCTTTTAAGGTTTGAAGCAGGTTTTTACCCGGTTGAATATGATGGAGGATGAATCTATGTGGACAAAATTGTTGCTTTATGTTGAAAAATGAAGATGGAAAATCATGGTTTTGCAAGATGTAAATCGATTGGGTTTTATTTAATTCTCCCCACAATTCCTTCCATCTATTAGTGAAGGAACTTATTGCTGAATGATATAATTTGGGCTTCCACCGTTTTCATGGTTAGGAAATGAATGGATTACTCATGCATGCGTGCTTATAGTCAAACTATTTGCCCTAAATGTTGGTTTTGGGATTGTTGTTTATTTGATAAGCGGATTTTTCTGTGTTATTTGTGTATGGGAAGCTGCTCCATTTCTTAAATTATGTTGAGGTGCTGAGATCATGATTATGTACTTTACAGGAAAGAAGCACCTTGGAGCCAAAAAAGAAACGAGATAGAGAAAGCAGAGGAGAGAAAAACAGGTCAGTCACCGAGGATAAATCCCTTATTTCCAGATCTCGTATAAGTCAGCAAGACAGCCTTCCTCCATTGGTTGGTGCTTTGAAAGCTTCAGCTGAAAAAAATGCAGCCAGCTTTCACTTCCCTGGGCATAATAGAGGGCGTGCTGCACCGTCTTCATTAACACAGCTTATTGGGTTTAGACCATTTATTCATGATTTACCTGAGCTTCCAGAGCTTGACAACCTCTTTTCACCGGAGGGGCCCATTTTAGAGGCACAAATGGAAGCTGCCAAACTATTTGGATCTTCAGAAACATGGTTTCTTGTTGGAGGTACCACTTGTGGAATCCAAGCTGCAGTAATGGCAACTTGTTCACCTGGAGAACACATCGTTCTCCCTCGCAATTCACATATATCAGCCATATCTGCTATGGTATTATCTGGAGCAATACCGAAGTACATAATACCTGGGTATGATTGTAAATGGGATATTGCTGGTGGTGTCACTCCGTCACAGGTGAGTCTATTAATATTATTGGTTGGAGCATTGGGGATTGATGCCTGGCTGGCTGAAGACATGTTGCTATCTACCTTCTAAAATTGTTTTGTTACTTACAATGGTAAAACGTTTGCATTCATATTTTTTAGTATGAACAAGAAATGTATATTTACAGTCGTCACATTAGAGCCTCTCAACATTCATGGGGAAAGATAAAGATGCCAACCATTCCTTTCAGTTTTAATTAAATAAGACCCTTTGGTTTATTTAATTTTGTTGTACTGATGGCATGCCAATAATATCTTTAAGATGGATCATATTATAGGTGGGGAAAGCTATCAAAGAGTTGGAGATGGATGGTAAAAAACCAGCTGCAGTTTTTATCACATCACCTACTTATCATGGTATATGCAGCAACTTGAGTGAGATTTCCCAACTTTGTCATGCTTATGGAATTCCTGTGATTGTCGACGAGGCTCATGGAGCACACCTAGGATTTCATCCCCAGATGCCTCATTCAGCTCTTAAGCAGGGTGCTGATTTGGTGGTACAATCTACTCACAAAGTTCTGTGTTCCCTTACACAGTCATCAATGTTGCACATGTCTGGGAATATTGTAGACAGAGATAGAATCTGTCGGTGCCTTCAAACCCTTCAAAGCACAAGCCCCAGTTATCTGCTTTTAGCATCATTAGATGCTGCTAGAGCTCAACTTGGTGAAAACCCAGGAACAGTTTTCAACAAAGCTTTGGAGTTGGCAATTGAAGCAAGCACTCTCATTAAAAAGATTCCTGGTATTAGCGTGCTTGACTTGGCGAGCTTCAATGAATTTCCTGCCATTGATCCCTTGCGCCTCACTCTTGGTTTTTGGTCACTTGGTTTATCTGGCTATGAAGCAGATGATATTTTAGATAGAGACCATGGAGTCATCTCTGAGCTTGTTGGGACCCAATCTATTACATTTGCAATAAACCTTGGAACATGCAGGGAACATAATCAAAGGTTAGTATCAGGATTAAAGAAACTACCAACATCTTCCTCACATTCCAAAACCACGGAAAAGAGGGTGGAGAGCAGAGAGCATGCACCCTTCAATGATATTTGTATCAGTTTGAATCCAAGAGATGCCTTTTTTGCAAATAAAAGGAGAGTGAGTATCAGAGAGAGCCTTGGCAAGGTCTGTGGTGAGCTTATATGTCCATACCCACCAGGGATCCCTGTAATTATTCCTGGTGAGATTATTACAGAAAGGGCTTTGAATTATCTGCTGGAAGTTAGAAGGAAAGGTGCTGTTGTTACTGGAGCTTCCAATTCTCATCTCTCTTCCATAGTTATCTGTGATGTGTGACAAAAGACGCGCTAAGTCAAGAGCTCTGTTGATTTCTTGTTTCCCCTGTTGGAGGCAATTGACAAGAGAAGAAATTACTTTCCTGTGGTGTCAGAGACTGGAACTTCAAATTCAGGTCATGGGGTTCTGATAAGACTAGCTGTTGGTGCTTCGCTAAGATGGTTAAAGACTGTTGGTTGCTCTGTAAGAGCTGTCTACGTGAACATGAAACCTGTTGTGCATGTGCCACAAGTTCATCCTTAAGTAGGAGACACCAAAGCTTGTCATCTGTGAACATTGATGAAATCTTTACTATGCTAGGCTCTTTTCTCTATCAGATTTCTGCTCCAATTGCGTGAAGATGTGTTTTGCAGACCCTATACTAATGAACCATTCAAAATAACAGCTTCAACCACTTTCAACTTCCATATCTTCCCTTTAACATGCATGTGACGGCTAATGACAAAGGGGTAGAATTCAACTTTAGATGGCAATGGCTTCTAAATGCAGGGTTCGATGCATCTTTCTTCATTTGTATCTGTCAACAAGTTCGTTTTATTATTTGCTGTAATTTTGGGCATTGACTTGATACTTGTGGCATTAGTGTAGGAACATGGAGCATGTCAGTATCATATGATAAGCCCCCACCGCCCCGCCCTCCCTCCCCCCTACCAGAATAATGCTGCTGCCGGTATTGATATGGAAGAATCACTTTTTTGGAGCCCAAATATAAAGCAAAATGCAGTGAGCAAAGAGGAGGCATAGCAAACGAGAGAAGTGGAGGTGCTAGCAACCTGCCAGATAGATATGATTAATGTTTTGAATATTGTGGTTCTTGTATAATTTTAATCATACTCTTTAATTGAGTTCTAATCATAATTAGGTATGATCATCCCTACATATTGCATGATTTCGTTGTTGATATAATCTGAAGATCATGAATCGACCACTTGTAATATACCTCCTTTTTTTTCTGAACAGGTTTGTCCCCATTTATGCTCTACACCTTCTTACCTTTCCTGTCTTCCACTCTCAATTCGAATCTTAATTCCAATATAACCATGGCAACAACACAAGGATCATGGCTCAGGTCACTAGCCCCATGTTATAGGGGCAGTCCATGATCCGCTGCGTCTTCATTTCTCAACAACTACCCTTTATCCCCTTCCAAGTTATTTGTGCAAAAGCATACCAAGAAGGTAGAAATGGAGATAAAAATAATATCCTGAGTCAAATTGAAAAATCTGCAGTCAGGTGCTTGTGATTCTAATTTCTATGCCCCAGTACTCAATCTAGGGTGAAACAAGCCCAGAAATTCTGACATGAACAAAATAACAAAAAAGTAAACATTGGCTGGTCTAGGATATAAAAAGAACCAAGCATTTAGATTTCCTTCATTATGATTTTTTGGCACCCCATAACAAAGATACATTCCAACTAAGTATGCATCCTCCCCCGCCCATTTTACCACTTTTTTCAGTAAAGGTTCATCAGAACCTAGTGGTAAAAAACAAATAGCATTGCATGGAAAAACATGGAAGCAAGACACAAACTGTGACATTGAGTCATCCAAAAGGATCAGGAGCAAGCCTCACAAATCACAATCACTATTTCTAGATTGATCAGGCTCTTCAACTTTCGGTTCATCCAGACTGCACACTGGATTAGTCCTGTGACTCCGTTTCGATGGTGTCCTTGCTTTCTTCTTTACTGGCCAGTAGAAAGGAAGATAAGCAGAGGACTGAATCAAGGGTGGAGGTAGGATTGCTGGCCGGCCGAGCTGGAGTTCTGTACAATCACCTGGACCAACCCATGTAAGGGGATTTGCTGCAGCAAAAACAAGGATATGTCATTAGTAGGTTTTCACATGAATTCTTTATGCAGCAGAAGATGCCTTCAGGAATGCTATCTTGAATTCAGTAGAAAGTCCCAAGCAAGTTAAGCCAGCAGTCTGACCACGAGGTTAATCCAGTCGTGCAACAGATTCTCATATAATTCTCCCCAGGACCACCCATTAATCAATCAAAAGTCATAACCAACCCACTCCATGAAGAATTCTTTCCAGGTAGTCTAAAACCATGGATATGATGAAATTAAATAAAAAACACTAAATACTCATTAATTCATGATAAGGACTCCACCTAAAGAAACAAGTGGTAAGAGTTTCTCAACACACGTAACAATTTATATGCTTAGGTTAGATTGGTTTATCCAATGCCTCACCCCATTACCAATTCCATTGAGACAGCTCCCACGTTCCAGAACCACATAGACCCAGATGATCTAAATACAGAATCAATCCAACCTGAATAGTGTTGGGTTTCATGGATTGACCACAAAATATACTCCCCTCCTTACATGGAGCAGCAAGAGTGCACTGCAGTAATGCAAGGAACCCACACATGGTACATATATTAGACAGATCAGTTTCAGTTTTCACCTCACAAGAAAAATAAAACTCAAAAAACGGTGTAATCAACTTTGTTGTTCTTTGAAGACAGGCCCAGATTAGAATTCATTGAAAAAGTGAAGAGAATGGTGCTTGAGGCCTCTTTGGAATGCAAAAGCATACTGGTAGCAGTATGGTCTGGCCCTCACATATTTAAATAACTTTATATATGTTTCATGTAGAACTGGGAAAAAATCTACATTGAAAAAAATAAAAAATAAAACATCCTAACCAAGGGAATTAGAAACTTCAAACCATGCAACTTTTGCAATCCTCCATAAAACGTGTGGCAACTTTAGAGAACTAAATGAAAAGGGGCAAATTTCATTTAAATTGCTTCAGATGCTTTAGTCATGCAGACCCTAAGGTGAGAAGTGAGAAGACAAAATTTAGTCGAGTCTGAATACAGAACTTCATTCCTTCAGATTTATGGCTGTGTCGAAAGTTAAAATTGATGGAAGTTTGCATCACTGAGTTAGAAAACTGAGCCAGTTCACCAAGAATTCCCTTCACTTCATGTTAACAAGTAAAAAGCTAATCATTTTATCTGCATACCCTCACCAGGTTCAAGAGGTCTAGCATCATCACATGAAGCTGATAAACGAGGACGCTTTTTTCTCACATAGTTTTCCTGCAGAGGCTTTGGTATTTGAAATGAAAACTGTGCGAGAGTTAAGCCATCTCTCATATACTCGGGATGTTCAATTAAGTACCTGCAAAATCAAGAGATTTAACACCTAAAACAAAGATCACCAAAAGATTATCTAGCATTATACATAGAGATTAGCTCAAGTGTGATAAACAAGGGGTCTGAGCTATTGCAATATAGGAATATTCAAGCAAGAGGAGTCAACATACTTTTGGATTTCCACCATTGAGCGAAGTCTCTTGCCTGACGGTGCTTGATAGTACCTGAAAAATAGAGAAGGGAAATCAAAAGGCATATAATGAAGAAATCATGATGGTAGAAGTTTCCAGACTGGAACAGCTATAGATCTCGATGCAGACATGTGAATATCAAAAAATGGGAAAACTGATTAAGAGGACAGTGCGAAGTGAATAAATCTACATTTTCAACTGATAGAAAAGAGGGAGAGAGCGGTCATAATAGTGTAGCCAAATGACATTACAAAATTAGTCATCGTCATCAATTAAGACTTGAATCATTAAAAGAATATTCTACATAATACTCAACTACAGTTGACGCGGAGTTGCATGTGCTCTTAGAGACATGGAAGGCTTTAAGGTTCTTGATAGGTTTCCATAAATGGAAACCATAATGAGTGAAATTAGATTATAGTATAGAACAAACCACGTGTTTCAAAAAAAAATGGTACACGTACACATCTGCAAATTTGGTACTTCCTTCACCCCTGATTCTCAGCAACCTTTGCCACCCGGGAGGGGGCTGAGCAATGTTAGGTTTATCAATTGCCCACAGCCTACTCCCATCTTGATCAATGTCTGTTGGATCATCACATGATATATCAGGCCGCCACTCACGAGCAGTTTCACAAAAAAAAGGCTCTTCCAGAATATGTTCCCGTAATTCTTCATACTTCTGTTTTGTTGGGATGAGCCTCCACTTGAAACATTTGGCACATTGCACAGTAAAAGCTCCTACAGATGGCAAAACTCTAGAAGGCACATTCAGGTCTGAGTATTTTCTAAATGGATGGTGGGACAGGATCGGTTGAGGAACAGGTTCAATTTCACCAGCATCATTAGCCAAAGGGTCATAAAGAACCAACTGTTTAGAGGAATCTTCAATTGATTGGTCATCTATATCCCATGCATCACCAGAGTTACCCTCATTTGAGGAAGAAGAAACTTCAATTGGTTCCTGAAGGGAGCTATTCAAATGACCTGTGTAACGTGAACCAGTACAGTCATCTCCTTCCATTTTTAACACATGGAAAGTTTCTCCAGGATGGGACTGCATCTGATTATGCCTCAACCACCTAACAGACAGTCACAAGGCTCGATCATAAAACTTCCCCATCAATGAATATTTGATCTTTTCGGAAAAAGAAAAGAAAAGCCTCCTCTTTCATAGGAAAAAAGAAAAGGCAATTTATCCTGATACGGGGGGGGGGGGGGGACAAAAAAGAGGAAC